GAACATATTTGTAAAAGAAAATATTTTAATAATCGTATATTTTGAGCTGATATTTTAAAAGTGAAAAAAATCAAAATTTAACTGAATCGTACCGATACCAAAGAGAAACCAATATAATTGGGATGGTTTTAAAAATTTAATTTTAGTTATACATTGAAGCCCCCAGTATAAAATAGCCAAAAAGTTAGAATGGTATAATTTTTAAAAAATAATTGACTGAACCGTCTCATTGAGGCCCCTAATATTTTCCTTCAAATTTCATATAACTTATTTCACATGTTATAATACTTTTATACTAATTTAAAACGTTTATAGTATTAGCATGGAATACACATACAATCACGTATTCAGAAATTAGTTACCTCACTCTATTTGGAAATAAGAAATTATCGAGGCAATATATTAAGAAAAAAATTAGGGCGTACATAATTGAATACCACTTTTTATTTTTACTCTTTTAGTTATCTTTAAACTATTCTTGAAAATACAAATATTTTAAAATAAAATCATAAATATAAACAATTAATTCTCTTAAAATTATCACCTAAAAATATTAATGAGGAAGTTTTCTTATAATAACTCTCTTAAACTTTGAACAATTCACTTATTTTGAATTATGAAAAATATTCAATATTTCACTTATTTTGAAATGGATGAAGTAACTTATTAATTAGTATTAAATTAAAGTTGTATAAGAGGGATTAGTCGCTTTTGGGATCAATGAGTAATCCGGTTTAAAGTACTCTCTCCGTTCTTATTCAGTTGTCACCGTTGTAGATTTTACGTCGCTTAAAAACTAGGTAAATTTATCATTGTACCCTTATTTAGTGTTCTTTGAAGTCAACATTTTAATAAATGAACATAGATTTATTTATTTTAATTAATTAAATTGATCAATAAACATGAATTAATCATTTAGTTTTCCTATGGTGGTCAAATTCACACTTTCAAAGCTGATAACTCTAACGGGTAAAATAAGAAAAATAATGTCATTTATGCATTGGTTTTATGAAATGACAAGTACTCCGTCTATCCCATATTAGTTGATCTCTTTCCTTTTTACACACATATTTAAAAAATCATAAATAAGAAATAATTTTGCCAATTCACCTATAAAAAACTTCTTAGGAATTTTATAAACAAATGTGAACACTTTCAAAAAGAATTAATTGTAAGGGTAATATAGAAAAAAATTAATTAATGTTTTCTTGATTTAGTAAGGTGATCAACTAATATGAAACTATTTTTAGTAAAATGATCAACTAATATGTGACAAATAAAATACTCCCTTCGTCCACTTTTATTTGTCATATTGTGCTTTTCGAAAATCAATTTGACTAATTTTTAAAGTTAAATTAGATTACATTAATTCGATAATTTAAACAAAAAAATTTAGATATTCCAAAACTATACAAAAAGTACTATAAATTGCAACTTTTTGCATATTAATATGATAAAAAAATACATTGTAAAATATTAATCAAAATTTTTATAGTTTGACTCTAAAAGAACAAATTATGATAATTAAAAGTGGACAGAAACAGTATTAAAGAATATCTATTTTTAGTTTGAACAAGTGCTAAATGACCAGAAAATTTGACTAGAATTTGGTTAGAAATTTTTTTAAAAAAATAGTTTTTACTTTAAAACAAACTGATCTTTTTTTATTTTTAGTTAAAATATTTTAAAATTAAAAGGGTAAAAATATTTTAAAAAATAAAATAATATAAATAAAATATTATTCTGACCAAATTTTCTGACAAAAAAGATTTATCCTATAAATCGGAATTGAGGGAGTACTAATTAAGTGATGAGGAAAAACCTGGTTGGGTATTTTCAAAACAAAAATTTGAGGATTCTCTGACAGACTGGTTACCTGGGTTGATGACAAGGATAGCCTTCGAATTACACGTGTCACGAAACTAAACGGTCTACGGAAATTAATTTTTAAATATTTGATGACAGGCATGTCAGCGTGGCTACTGCTGTAATTGGATTGAGGAATAAAATCTTGGGATTCAATCTGAGCTCATCATCCTTATAAAATGGCAATAGCCAAGAATTCTATTTTTATTTTTAGTCCAACATTTTAAAAAAAATATTATTTAACCACCTAATCATAATCATTTATAATATTCACCGTTATATATTTAGTGTGTACGTAATATTATTTACATACATATTATAGATTTATATATGCTTTTCTGTTTCAATTTGTCTTAATTTACTAGGCACAATAATTTATTTTTAAAAAATATTTGTGATTGCTAAGGATATACATAATATAGCACAATATTTTTTAATTTGTGACCTTAAATATATTATTTGAGATGTTGAAATTAACGTATTGTCAAATAAGAAATTTTTTTGAAAAGGATGGGTAATAATTATACTGTTAAATTTATAAAATTTAAACATTGGTACTATTTTTTGTTATACACTTTGTTGAACTGTTGTGTAATCAAAAAATTCAAAAGAAAAAGTTATTACCATACGTATTTATATTTATATGATTGAATAATAAATTAAAGTACAAATGTATAGTAATAATCATAGGAAAATAAAATAAGTGTGTTGAATATTAATTTTGTTAATTTTATTAGTTTTAAATAAACGTTGAATATGAATAATATATTGTGCCAAAAAAGATTAAAATTGAATATGAACAATTATTTTATGCCATCCCTTGAAGCTTTGAATTAATTGTGTACTCTTGAGTCTTGTACACATTGTCTTTGTGTTTTCAAGGTTGCCCATGGTTTTGAAATTTGATGATGGTTTATTTTTGTTGGTTGAAGTAGACTTGTATGCTTTTACCTAATCTTATCCTTTTGATATTTTGACTAAAGATGGGGAATGGATTTTTCATGATATTTTGGAACACATACTCATCTACAAAGTTAATAAATTAAATCATGAAAAAGACATGTTAGAAAACTTGGAGTAACACTATAACATTAAAGAAATAGAAATTTGGCATAGGAAGTTGGAAGGCAACTCTCTCTCCCTCCCCCATCCAAACCAATTAAAGAGGGAAAACAACATAACCACTAATCTTAAGATAAATATTAAAGACAGAGGAAACCTAAGAATAAGAATGGTTTCATGAGAGACTACATATCACCACAAACTTGGTAAACTTACTTGGAGCTATAAAGATATCCATAAAATAATAGGTTACTTAATTAATATTTATTATTTTCTTTTGTTTCATTTTATTTGTTTTATAAAAAATTTTAAGTTCATTTTAAAAAATATTATCTTTTTAGATAATTTTTAATCTTAACTTTTCAAATGACATATTTACAGAGCATAAGACTAAAGAATATTTTGGTACATTCTGTCTATCTTCAATTTAAGATTATAAGATTTAAAATTTCTTTATATTTTTAAATTTTTTGTAAAAATATCTCAAGAAACAATCTTTCTTCAGCAAAAAAAAAGAAGAAATAATTGAGTGATCATCTAAAAATCAATTCATAAAATGCATACACTAATTTGTAGCATTAGGTTAAAGTATAATGAATTTTTTTTATTTTTCACCCGGTGTTTAGAGCTCGAATTGGAGCTCCGATTAAATCTGGATCGCGCACTACCGTGCTCATTCAGGGTGGCGCTTCCAACACAACTTTTTTCATACCCAAAGATCAAATCTGAGACTTCTAATTAAGGATGAAACAGTTTCACCACTACATCATAACCCGTGTTGATAAAATATATTTTATCTATACATATAAACAATAAAAAAGATGGTAATGGAAGGGAATAATTTTCTCAAGCTTCATTTATAATATTTATTTTGAAATTAAATTGACTTACATAATACTCTCTCATTCATATTAAGTGAATTATTGGAGGTATGCCACAATATTTTATAAGAAAAATATTTAAAGAAATGAATTAAAAGTTACTTTCCTCTATTAATTTTTAAATTATTTTTCTAAAATATGTAAAGTAATTAAGAAACTCATTAAATAAATGGTAAATATGAAAAAAAGTTCCAACATTTTTCTTGAATTATTCACTTATTTTGAACTATAAAAAAATTCACTTAATATGAATCGTGGGAGGGAGTAGTAGGTAAATTTCATTTTTATACCCGTCTTTTATTTTATATGACATATTTTTTTTAGTCAATTCTAAAAATAATGACACATTTTATTAAAAAAATATTAAAACTATTAATATTTTACAAATGTTGGGTTCATTTATTTGACAAAAAGTCCACTTATTGTTATATCCAAACAATCATTAAGTGTTCTCATAATTTTAAAATTTTGTATCCAATAAAACTATATTACATAAATCGAAAAAGAGAAAGTAATTTTTTTTAAAAAACAATTAACTTGATAATAAACATTAAATTAATAGGAATATTAAAATTCTCATCATAAATAATAATATAACTTAAATCTTCCAAATATACATCAACCATTTTCTAGGGCGTAACCACAAGCCGGCCGCCGCCCTATGAAATGCCAAATATATTATCAAAGAAAAAGATAGTGAATTAAATTTAACATATTAATTCAATTAACAAAAAGCAGAAGCAAGAAATTAAATGAATATGAATTTAAAAAAGGCAAGTAATTAAATGAATATAAACTAAAAAAAGGCAAGTTTGATGAAATCATAAAGGAATTTAGAAAGTTGATGGAGGCCAACTATGATATAATACCAAGAAGATTCTAGCTAACAATGATTACATTTCATACCATATTTTCAAAAATTGAAAGTAAATTATTTCAAAAATAATACAAATAATTATAGCTAAATTAGCGGTTTGAGGTTGTCGTGGACCCCATGATTAGAGAGATAACGAGCTGGCAAACCAAGTCATAGACAGTCTGTTCCTTACCCCTCACCCCTCACCCCTCACCCCGACTCCCACTCCTACCCCACCACGTCTATACAACATATACATATACATACACTCACCATCACCATTTTCTACCATCACTTCCTCCACAACTTCATACCCACGTCTAAAAATACCTTCTTTACCCCTTCTCTATTGAGATTTTTATTGTAGGATCACCGGAAAATCAAGAAATGGCTGAAGAAACCAAGAAACCTGCTTCTGAGGAAACTACGCCGGCGACAACTCAAGAGGTTGTCGTCTCTGATGTCCCCGTGCCGGAAAAGGAATCCACCCCTCAATCTGAACCGGTACCTGTTCCTGAGACACCGGAAAAATCTGCTGTTCCGGTGCCTGAGGAAACTGAAGCTGCAACTGTTACGGAAAAAGCTCCAGTTACTGAATCTGCTTCGTTTAAGGAAGAGAGCAATAAAGTTGAGGAACTACCAAATCCTGAGCAAAAGGCTTTAGCGGAGTTGAAACAGTTGGTTCAAGATGCTCTGAACAAACATGAATTCACTGCTCCACCACCACCCCCGCCGGTCAAGGAGGAGGAGAAGAAACCAGAGGCTGAAGCAGCAGAACCTGTAGCTGCTGCTGTGGCAGAGGAGGAGAAAAAGGAAGAATCTGAACCCAGCACCGATGCTGCACCAGCTGAGACTCCGGCCATCGCGGAGCCGGTGAAGGAAGAACCACCAGTTCCAGCGGCGGTGGTAGAAGAGAAGAAAGAAACTCCACCTGTAGTGGAAGAGAAGAAAGAAATTCCACCTGTAGTAGTGGAAGAGAAGAAAGAAACTCCACCACCAGCAGAGGAGGAGGATGGTTCTAAAGCCGTTGAAGAAATCAAAGAGACGATTGTTGAAGTGACTGCCACCAGTACTGCACCGGTGGAGGAGACAGCAGTTCCGGCAGAAGAAGTCCCAGCAACAGAGGAAGATGTAGCACCAGAAGAAGTTTCCATCTGGGGAATTCCTTTATTAGCTGATGAGAGAAGTGATGTGATCCTTCTCAAGTTCCTCCGAGCCAGAGATTTTAAGGTGAAGGAAGCTTTTGCTATGCTGAAGAGTGTGGTAGCATGGCGTAAGGAGTTTAACATTGATGAACTTTTGGAAGAAGATCTGTCAGGACTAGGACTAGAGAAAGTGGTGTACAATCATGGTGTGGACAAGGAAGGACATCCAGTGTGTTACAATGCATTCGGGGCATTTCAGGACAATGAATTGTATCAGAATACTTTTGCTGACAAGGAGAAAATGAACAAGTTTCTTAGATGGCGTATTCAGTTCATGGAGAAATCAATCAGGAATCTTGATTTTAGCCCTGATGGCATATGCACTTTTGTTCAGGTTATTGATCTCAAGAATTCACCTGGACTTTACCTTTACAAGAAAGAACTTCGCCAGGCTACCAACCGTGCACTTCAGTTACTCCAGGACAACTACCCTGAATTTGTTGCCAAGCAGGTATACTTTCGTCTGTTTCAATAATAAATGCAATACTACTGTATCAAAGTATCTCATCATTTCTATTAAGTACGGTCTATTCTAACACTTGTAAAAAGGGGGGAAATCTTTAATTTATTACGTAACTTTTACTTTGTCAATTGTGAATTAACTGGACGGACTTTGATGTTGATGGTAATGATGAAGGTATTCATCAATGTGCCATGGTGGTATCCAGCTTACTACAGAATGATCAATGCACTTTTCACTACCAGGACCAAGAGCAAGTTTGTGTTTGCTGGTGCTTCAAGATCTGCTGAGACTCTCTTCAAGTCAGTGGACTACTCTTTTTTAACTTGTGGTGTTTTCTTTCAATTGAATGATGATCTTCAACCTAATATTGATCTGTGTGTTGACAATCAGATACATTGTCCCTGAGCAAGTTCCAGTTCAATATGGTGGACTTAGCAGGGAGGGTGAACAGGAATTCACCATTGCTGACCCTGCCACTGAGGATACCGTTAAGCCTGCTTCCAAACACACCATTGAATTTCCAGTTACTGAGGTAAACTAACAACCTCTATGCTAAAACGTATTTGTCAGAGTATATTGAATGATATTCAAGAGATTAAAATTTGTAACTTGCAGAAGAGTAATTTGGTGTGGGAAGCAAGAGTGGTTGGATGGGATGTGTGTTATGGAGCTGAATTTGTGCCAAGTGCTGAAGGCGGATACACGATCATCGTCGAGAAATCAAGAAAGATTGCAGCAGCAAATGAAACAGTGATCACCAACAACTATACCGCGCCAGAAGCAGGCAAAGTGGTGCTTACATTTGATAACCAAACATCTAAGAGGAAGAAGCTTGTCTACAGATCCAAGACCAAGCCTTCTGATTAAAACAAACATATGTTGTTGAAAAGCTTTCAAAGATCAAATCACATAGTGGAAAATAAGGAGAAAGGGTTCTGTTCTTTTGTTCTTTCATAGCTTTTAAAAATTCTATTTTTCTTGTTGATATTAAATTTAATTTTGAGTGTGGGATATTTATTTGTTTTTGGATTGTTTTGCTACAAGTAAGTAAGGGGTTTGCAATGGATGGAGAAGAAAACAATGTATACAGAATGTGGTTGTAATGTGTTGGTTGGAATGTGGACAGAAAAACTTTGATTACTAGCTGTTGATATATTCTTGTAAAATTGTGTGTAAATATGGTGTTCTTGTCTTTACTGTTCTCTCTCTTTTTGTGCATGTTGCTGTTAATTAATGTTTCCCTATATTCCTTTGTCACTTTGTTCATAAGAATTTTGTTCTTTTTTCTGTCTTTTATGTGATCATTTCATTATGTGATATTTTGTTTACTATTACTATATTTCAAACTCCTCTTAACAGTAAACTACTTGATCATTAATTGTTTTGTACATTTAATGTGATGCTAAAGTTAGAACTTGGAAGATTAGGCTTAAACTTGGGACCACTTATTTAAAGCATAGTTGGCTTACCTCTCCCTCCTATTCTATTTTTATACTCTTATTTTTTTTTAGTTTTTTTTTTTTTTGGGGAATTTTTGTTTTGCTTGTAAAGATCTTTATAAGAGAATTGAAAAGATGGTTTTGTTTTATTCAATTTGTAAGTGTTCGTAATAGCTCATTTTCTCGTCTATATCAAACCAAACAAATACAAGAGTTACAATAATCACTTGCATATATTTTTATTTTAAATTGATAAATTTAAATCAATTAACAGGATAAATATTTTTGTAAGTATTCATTAATAAACTTGTTTTAATTTTTATATTTTTGTATAAGAGATTTTTATTTTTATACCTAACAAATTTTTATTTTTATACCTAATAGGTTTAAAAAGAATCATTTTCTTTTATTTAATTTATAAGGGGCAATAAATATTATTTCATCGGCCAAGTTTGAATTAAATCCATTCAGATAAGAACTTTATCGAACTTATGTAAACAAAAATTAATACTATCAATATTTAACATGATTTGATGGGACATTGCATTTTAAAAAAATAATAAAAAGGCATATGGGAATCACTTGAGTGGGATAATTGATCGTAGAAACTGTTTCTCTTTTGAAAAAGTGGAAACAAAAAATGCTTTAGAATATGAAAAGCTGGAGAAATACTGTCCAACCACTTTATTTTTATTAGAAGAAAAGGATGAAAACAAATATCTGTATGAAGATCTGTCTTTCACTTAACATAGTAATCTTAGCTTTAAGATTCTTAGGACCATTTGGCAAAGATTTTATAAGTTTTTTTTTTCTTTTAAATATTTTCTTTTAGCAAAATCTGTTTGGCTATAGAATTTTTGTACTTCAAAACAAAAAGCCAAAAAACTCCATTACAATTTGTCTTGAGAAAACATGATTTAGCTAACATAAGTTTTTCATCGATGGTACCTTAATTGCTTAATCCAACTTTAGCAAGATATTTGTTCATAGGACAGAGAAAATCATTTATTGATTTAACGACTTACAAAAAATTAAGCTAATCAATGTTATCATTTGATTATGTTATATACTCTAATGTGTGAAACACTGAAGCTAACTATTTTGGTTGTATTTTGTTGTGGTGCAAATATGGATATAATTTGTGTAATGACTTTTGCATAATGTGTTATCCAATTTACTGTAAAATCAATAATTTTGATAATTTTTAGAATTTATAAATATAAATTATTGTTTCATGTTTATTTTTCTTAAAAAGTAAAATATATAAAAATTATGACCAAATTTTTTTTATCCAAATTTAATTTCCCCAAAATATTTGAATATGACCAACGCTAGTATGTAATTTGCTTTCGATTAAGGTGGAACCTGAAAAGATAAAAGACTATCATTAAAGTTAGACTACTAATTATTGTGCCCACCAAACTTTACTTGAGAAAATGAGTGAACATCATCCTTTGATAATTTGAATTAATTTGAATAGAAAGAGAATTCTTTTTAATATAATTTCATGTTCCAGATGTAAAAATAAAAGTTTATGATTAAAAAAGAGGATAAAAACTAAAAAATATATATTTTAATAAAGACGTATGAAACTAATTGATGGATACTAGAAAAGTGAATAAATACAAAGTTTTAATATGGTTAGTTCTTCTCTCGTTATCGATGAGTAGTTTTAGGTTTGATGACCCTAATTTTGTAAGGAAAGTGAAAGAGACCCACCAATAATGTTATTTGGACACTCATGATACAACTGTTTCTCTAAACCAAAAATATTCTTGGTGGAAGTTAAAATCTTTTGCCTCTAATTCTTGATACCTTTCCTAAAAAATGAGGAAAATTGTGGAGGGGGGAATTATTAAGAAATCAGTTGGAAATTTGTGCTAATTGAGATATTTACAAGGAGTTTAGAGAGAAAATGACAAAAATGGTTCTTTATCTTGGTAGTACGTTCATAATAGAGATATTAGTTGAGTAATTTTAGTCTTTTAAGTTTCTTCAAATTGAGTATTTTTTATCTTCACTAGATAATTATCAAGTTCTGAGTTTTGATTAAAAAAGTATTTTATATTTTAATTAAATTTAATAATTACAATTTGATAAATATTTGACTGAGATAAAAATGTTTATTTTTGACAAATTAAAAAAATTAAAATAGCTTTATTGACACTTGTGAAACTATTTTAAACCTACTATCAAAGATAAGAAACAATATTTCTCATTTTCTCGAGTTTAAAGGAAGATCATCAGTTTCTTGGATGCTTTTGTTTCAAAATAAAACAAGAAGTTTAAATGACAAATAACTCTTCTTTCTTCAAATTGTCTGTAATTCTTACACCTTATTTGGATGGTTATTACCTGTTGTATTGTATTGTATTGTTACTTTAAATATAATGTTTGTTTTGATTGTTACTTAAATTCTATTGTATCGTATCGTTTAAACTCATCGTTAGGTAACGACGAAAAGATCCATTTTATGTAACGACCGATTTGGTGTGATCCGTCGTTACCTTAATATTTTCTTCTCATTTTATCTTTATTTATTATTCAATAATTATATTTCATCTTTTACCCTACATTTTCATAATAGATCTACCCCTTATCCTATCTTTCTTGTAGGTTAATTTATCATTCAAATTATAGATGTAACATTATGTAATAATGGAGAACGATACAATCTATCCAAATATTGTATTCATTAAACAAATACGGTACAATACAATATAATATGAAACAATATGTAACAATCATCCAAACAAAGTGTTAAATGACTTAGGGGTTGTATGGTTGAATGTATAAGAATAATCCTAAATATATACAGTGTATTAGTGATGTTTCTATTAGTTATGAAGAGATTATTTCTTATGCATTATTTGGTTTGGTGTATCAAAAATAACATGCATTACATAATTTCTAAAGAAAATTATTTACAAAATAACCCTCCACAAATATGATAAAAAAGAGAGTTTTTGACTAAAAACATACTTAAATTATACCCCCAACTTAAACTACATCCTTAAATTATCCTTTTTAACAAAAAACATCCTCCAAGTATTTAAAACTTAACAATTTTCATCCCTCTATTAAAATTTGTCAAAAAATTAGCGAATTCCACACAAAAACATATGCAATTCATAGTATTCTCATAAAAAAAATCTATAATATTATTACCGATTGGAAAAAGCATCGAAAAAAAATTTGAGACTCGTATTTTCTGTTAAAAAAATAATGTTAGGACTGTGTGAGTCTACGAGGAGACATGATCTCCTCTTCTCCTTTACCAACTGAATGAAGTTGGAGCTTAATTTCACACAATCTTCACCTTGCAAAGTCAAAATGTCGTTAGAACAATAATTTTTTGGGCAAATTGATAATTGAGGTGATCAAGATTCAGGTAATTTTGATCTCTAGTACTCAAATTTCATTTTTCATTATTAGAAGTAAAAGTCTCACCACTTTTTGCAGATTCAATGAAAACAAAACATTTTCATTGATACTTCTTTGATATCAAATCAAATGAAAAGTAAATAAAAATAAAGTTGCTAATTCAAAGGAAGACAATGCAAAATGTTGTTACTAAAACAATTATAATATTATTTTAGATGTATGTAGAATGAACATAATTGATTTATTGGGTGATTTAGAGAGTTTAATTTGTTGAGAGTAGTGTGAACCGTACATGTTGTTGTGAAGACCTTGTTAATTTTTGACAAATTTTAACAAAAGGATGAAAGTTGTCAAATTTTAAATAATTAAGAAATGTTTTCTGTTAAGAAAAATAATTTAAGGATGTAGTTTAAGTTGAGGGTATAGTTTAAGGATGTTTTTGTAGAAACAGTTTTAGGGGCAATTGTGTCTTTAACCATGCTAATGCACGCATTAAAAGCCTTTGCATTACTTATGCCACATGGATTTCTATTTATTAATAATACACACCTCAATACACAAGAAAATGTATAGATAAGTTCAAAAAATGAACCAAACAAGATACTACTAATACACAAAGTTGCTGCATGCATTAGTTTTCTGATACACTTTACAAATGCAAAAATAAAATAAAAATAAAAATAAATTCTAATCTTATGGAAGGAAAATGTAACCAAAATTTTGCATTTGAGAATTTCATACCATTTTCAAATATGCATATCTTTAAATCTTCTAACTTTTAGATCTTCAAATCTTCAAACCTTTAAACTTTCAAGTATTCAAACCTTCATATACAATTCTTCAAATATTCACATGCTTTCAATCTTCAAATATTAATATCTTCAATCATCTAGTGTTCAAATAATAAGATGATTAGGGAATTAATTTAATCATTGTCATTAATTCATTGTTCAAGAGTTAGTTGTAGAGTTAGTTATAAGTTGGTTAGATGGCTCTTAGGATGACACGTGCGATGACAAAGTTAGTTGAGTCATTCACATGTGGTATGATCCTTCTAAATTTAGTCTATAAAAGCATTAATGAATGGTTTAATATGTAGTTTTTGATTTGTCAAGATGAATAATATCTTCTCCCTTCTTTCGGTTCTTAACTTTTCTCTGTTCATCTCTTTCTTGAGAGCTTCTAAGCTCATAGTTTAACATGGTATCAGATCATTCGATCCTGGTGCGATAGCTTAAATTAGTTATTTCTTAGCCGTGTAGTTGCGTGGTTGAAGGTTGCAGTAATGAAGATCACAAAAATTGATCAGAATGATCTTTT